AATTCCTGAACTAGACGAAAGAAATTTCTGGGAGAAGTTAAATTGAACTTTCTGGAGAAGACGTAAGAAACTTCATGGAGATGCTGGCAGAAACTTCCTAAGGTAGATTGGAAAAAAAATCTGGAGAAAGTCCGAAGCCAGAGTGCTACCGGAACAGTCGAAATAAACAAGGACATAATTCCGGAAGAAAGAGCGCCTGGGGAATGTTCTAATGATCCAGAAAATTTTCCAAATCGTCATAAAACGTCCCTGAAGACCCCGCAATGCCCCTGAAGTTTTTGGAACATTCCTGAAATGAACTTATCAATATTTTATATTTATCCTTAAAAGTTCTTGTTATTTTCCTTAAGTTAATAGGGCTATTTCGGAGTACTCTGATCATTTTTGAAATACTTGAAACTTCCATGATTATAATGAAACTACTGGAATATCTCTAATCAACTTTGAAGGTCTCTTGACTTTCTTGAAGATTACGAAATTTCTTAAGCGCTCTCACAATTTTCTTGAATTTATTGTAACATCAGCATTGAAGTTCTCTGATCTTTCAGATTTTTTTTAATTTTTAAAAGTAATCGACACTACCATTAATAAGCACGGAACTTCCCATAAAATGTTCTCACAATGTGCTAATGTTCCCTTACGTTTCTAAAATTTGCATGAGCCCCTCGGAACATTGCTGAAGTTTTTGGAAATTGCCTGAGTTTCTCGGAACTCCTTTAAAATTTCATCGATTTCCTTGAAATTTATTGATCTGTCCTGATGTTCTCGGAGCTTCCTAAAGTTCTCTCAATTCTCCTGAAACTAAACTGTCCTGAAAACCATTAAATTTTCCTGACTGTTTATCGATTCATGGGTAGCCAAAAACGGTGAGGAAATTGAAACATTAATCGAAAGAGTATCCATAAGACATTTTAATGAGGGTTTTTTTAAGTCTAAAAAAAATTGAAATATTCAAGAAGGTACGAGCACGAGCAGGCAATAATCATTTCGATTATTCAAAAAAGTTGGAAGGGTTGTATACTAGTACGACCGCAGGGTTGGCGTTGTATAACGTCTGTTATGTGTTGTACTTAATTGTGTATATTATATTTTAGGAATATTCCTTAATAACTCTTTTGCGAAAGTATGGTGGCCCTGAAAAGGGCCGTTTTGTTGGGCTGATGTTGTTGACAATGATGGAACGGGCGACCTTGTTGGACGCTTATATAGTAGAACAGAAAATATCATAGGTGTCAGATACTCGCATACGTACGTTAAACTCTTTCTTGATAATGTTGTGGCCCTGAAAAGGACCATTTTTCCAACGCGCTCGGCGTAGTTGCCCTTGCGCTAGCAGACGGTGAATACGACCCACTGAGAACTGCAGCAGCTGGGCATTTCATGACGGCGGCCCAGTATACCGGAGCACTGGCACCAACGCACTCGGCGTAGTTGCCCTTTCGCCCCCAGGCTCTGCTGCCGCTGCTCTGGTACTGCTGCTCTGCTGCTATGCTGCTGGGTCGACGATCGGATAGACAATGATGGAACGGGCGACCTTGTTGGACGCTTATATAGTAGAACAGAAAATATCAGAGGTGTCAGATACTCGCATCTGATGTCTCGGTTGGAGAAAGTATAAGAATATAAAAAATCAATCGATTTTCACCATCTTTAGACAATGGTTTACTTTTAACCGTTTTTCAATAGTTTACAGAATGAAATCAAAAGTTTTGAAACATTCAGCAAATTGCTAGAAATATTTCCAATCGATTGATGCTATTATCTCGTAAATCTATCGAGAGACGGTTGAGTTATTATCGTTCAAAATCTTTTAATTTTTCGTAACGCATCCAAAATGACTGTTTTCAATTTTGTACCCCCGTATGTTGCCGAAAGACGTTATCCAACGTCAAAAATCGGTATTCTGCAGAACCTTATCTGTATATCGGTATCTAGTTCGGAAATCAGTATATAAATCGGTATATCTGGCAACGCTGGTGGACAGTACCACCCACCGTATATACTGTATGTTGGAATTGTCTTGATACCCTTGGAATTCTTTACTCTCAGAGCTCAAGAGTTTACTGGATACAAAAAAAAATAAAAATAATAAAATAAGATTTGCAAAAAAAAAATAGTTTAATGAAATTAAGAATATTCTTCAAGATTCAGAGAGATTTATTTTGAAATATTGGTATCAGAAAAATCAATGAGATTTTAGTAAATATTTTGAAGAAAATCGAGGGGAATGTTACTCAGTCCTAGTGAGTGACCTTCGTTTATGCTAATTTGAGTAAACGCAGCTCGATTCTGAGTCAGATTCAACGGCCGTGCAGAGTGAGTCAAAACATCCTCAATTTTCTTCATGGTCGAGCAGTTTTGGGAAAATCGTTGAAAATTTTACCAATTTATGAGGAACCGAGTTTCTGCGAATTTGAATAAACGGAGATCAAATTTGAGTTGAATTCTGCGGCCGTGATAGTATACAAACGCTTGGAGGTGTGTCTTGAGTATTCAACTCAAATTTGAGCTCCATTTCCATTTCCATTTGAGCGCAGGAAACCAAACGACTGAGTAAAATTCGATGCCAAAATGTCATTAGGGTGAAACTGCTTTAGGAAACGACGACTTCAACCACCGATTAGTACGCAAATAAAAGCTCACTTCTGTATTCTAACCATAAAAAACTGATAGAGGAAATATTCCCATACTTGATGGTGTTATGTTCCATCTATAAGCTTTCATTCGCGAGAAATCAACGGCATAATTCATTGTTTACCAAAGTAGCTTCGCCCTTTTGAAATGTTGATGAAGAATTGTCCTCGATGTTCTTCATATTCGATCTGATTTTTGAGGAAAGTCGAGGATAATTTACTCGGTATATGCACGGCAGATGAGATTAACTCAAAATAGAATCGAATAGGACTCAAATAGCAAAAAATGCACGGCGAATGAGAACAACCCAAATTTGAGTTTAGTTTACTCATAATCTCAGAAAGTGCAAGAACTCAGCGACTAGTAAAATTTCATCATGTTTTCCTGTGGAAAACATAAAATAACTGCCGGAAAATGAGGAAAATTGACGAAAATTTTGACCCAACCAATAGACTCACTGAATCCAATCTTTACTTTTCTCATATTCGGAATATTTTTCCTAGTCAAAACTGGAAAACCATGAAAAATCATAACGGAAATTTACTCATCGCTGAGCTCATGCACTGTATGTGATTTACGAGTAAACTAATCTCAAATTTTGGTACTCTCATTCACCGTGCGTACGTGTAAGCTTCTCGATTTTCCTCCCAAATCTGCTCGAATATACAGAAAATGACACGGCCAATGAGATCCACCTAAATTTGGGTTCAGTTTACTCATAAATCGTAAAAAGTGTAGGAACTCAGCAATGAGTAAATTTGCCTCATGTTTTTTCAGGAAAAAAAAATCCCGAACCTGGGAAAAGTAATTCCTTGGATTCCCTCAGTCTATTGGTACTACTTCCAGACTGAATAAAAATATCGTCAATTTGCCTCATTTTCCGGCAGATTTTTTAGGTTTTCCACAGGAAACCATGAGACAAATTTACTCATCGCTGAGTTCCTGCACTTTTAACGATATATGAGTAAATTGAAGTCACATTTGCGATGATCTTATTGGCCGTGCTTATTCATAGACTGCACGGCGAATTTGCAAATTTGCCTCATGTTTTTCCAGGTTTATCGACGAAAAACTTCCCGAATATGAGAAAAGTAAAGATTGGATTCACTCAGTCTATTAAGTACTACTCCTAGAGTGAATAAAGTTTTAGTCAATTTTTCTCATTTTCCAGCCGTTTTATGAGGTTTGCCGCATGAAACCATGAAACAAATTTACTCATCGCTGAGTTCCTGCACTTTTGGTGATTATGAGTGAACTAAACTCAAATTTTGGGTCGTTCTCATTCACCGTGTAATTAAAATTGTCTTACTCGGCCAATGAGATCATTCAAATTTAAGTTCAGTTTACTAATAATCACGAAAATTGCAGGAGCTCAGCAATGAGAAAAATTGTCGCATGTTTCCTGTGGAAAACCTCAAAAATCTGCCGGAAAATTAACGAAAATTTTACGCGGTCTACAAATAGTACCAACAGGCTTAGAGAATCCAACTTTCCCCAAAAGCTGGAAAACCAACACACGGCCGATGAGAGTAACACATTAGCTGAGTCAAATACAACTCAAAATTGCAAAAGTGAAGTCAAATTTCTGGGAAAAACAGCTTGAATATGAGGAAAATCGAAACATCCGTGTACTCAATTTTGCTAAAACAAAACTAAGGTTGATAGACGGACATAGAATTTTACTCAGTTACTAAATAAAATTCTTTGTCCGGATTGGCCCCTATTGACCACTTTGTCAAGCAGTTTTTGGTGTGACTTTCTACCAGCGATTCAACAAAACTGGACCAACTAATTTTTATTTTTTTATGAAACGCACAAATGATGGCTACTTTTCTCGTGATTCTAGAAGAAAAAATCTCTAAATAATGTTTTATTTCAAAGTTCGAGTGGTAGTAAACGTAATTTCAAGTGCTCGAATTAAGTGGTTAATTCTACGCAACTTCGGACTGCAAATAAACCGATGTGAATATGGTTTGGGCATTTCTTTCGCACTGAGTCGCAACGGTTTGTATGAATGATTTTATTATTTCGATTCCGTTGTTTTTTTTTTGGGCTTGGCGATTTTTCATAATTCATTATACTGTATTAAACGCAGAGCTATAGAATGATAGTAATAAGTGTGTACTTGTAATTGCAGTAGTGTGGTAAAAACGTGAAGTTGAGAGTTGAGATAGATAGCTATTTCCGATTCGATAGTTCATGTGGTTCTGCTGTAGCGGCAGTTGCTATTTTCAAGGATGGGGCAAAGAACGGTTTGCAAAATAATATCTAACCAGTAGAATTACATTCCATATTGTGGAAATTTACGTTAGGTAACGGATTTCAAGATGGTTATTTAATACGTTTACTCTTCTTGACCCCGGGGGCAAACATAAATTTGTACAACTCGGTTTTGCGCAGCAGAAACTTAAACATTTAAAAGTGGCAACTCAAAGGAGGGTTTCAGTGGACGAAACGAAAAAAGGACTTTTGAAGGTTCAATAAATTATCACAAACATTCATAAAATAGGTATTCGATATTAAATGTATAAACTCATTCGCGATCCGCCTCATTCGGTGGTTCGCTGATAGTAAAATAATCTATTGGTGTTTTCTCTTACGACGGGTAGTTTAGTTTTACACTAAAAGTTTCCTAGCGATAATGGTGATAACAGTAAGTAGTAGTATTAGGAGTAGTATCATAAGGTAAGTAAGTACACGAGTAATATAAATGCTCATTAGTTAACCGTCTATTGCAATTACAATATTACTTGATTTTAAAGCAAATATTTCATCCGCTTCTGCTCGAATCAACTGTGAACCGGTCCAATTTCGACATCCAATAAAGTTTGTGTCTGTACTAAAACGCTTCCCGTCTGTGAACACGATCGTTGAAGTTAACTCATTCATGATTTTCGTTTACTTATTTTCACTAAAACTGCGGACACCCACAAATGATGCTCGAATCTGAGTTAATCTTTAAATCGACTATAACTCACATTAACTCCGATTCGAGTCGTATTTTAACTCAGTCTATAAGTGTCCGTAGTATTAGTAAAACTTAATAAACGAAACTCAAATTTGAGTTAAATTCTACGACCGTGTTCTGAAACGCTTCCCGTTCGTAACGCTTTGCAGGCACGTTACTTCAGTTTCCTTTTTATTTCTGTATAGCTTTGGTAATAAAATATGGTTCCTGTAAAATTTACATTGCTTGTCCGAAGAATTGTTTCTTTTTTTCGGCTAAAACTACGACAGATTGGGAGCTTTTCTTGGGAAACTTAAACCTAAACGTCTCCTAAATAAATGCAATATTTTACTGTTCTCTTCTCGTTTGGGCATCATCCAACAACGCACATTGGAAGAACTTTGAAAACATAAATAGTTAGAAGTTAATACAACGGACAACAAAACATGTTAAGCTTATATCCTCTCCTTTATGATCGACTGCAAAGCAAAAATTAACCGCTACTTTTTGGGGTTAGTTCCAGAAGTAGACCTACTTCTACAGCAAGCGAAACTTATTAGAAAGCGCATATGCGAGGAGAGCGATGTCGGCGACGACAAGGCAACAGCTCCCAGGAGGGCTGGGTTCCATCACCGCTACACCCACAGAACCCGAGAGGACACACCGCCGTCCGAATCGGTTCCGTTGTGTCGGTGGATTTTAAGCTTCGGCGGTACGACCGGCGCCGAGTCCCACCGGCGATGGTTGATGAAGTGATTGTGGTGCTCGTACGCAGCGGATTGCGTTACCCGGGCGGGAATTTCCGGTGCCTTGGATGGCGATGGAATTCCCAGTTTGTCGGAAAGATGTTTGCTGCTTCCATTGCTCATGTTGGTTAGGGTGGAGTTGGTGGAGGACGAAGATGAGGAGCTTGGGTTTATGGCGATCGTTGTGGCAATGCTGGCTGTTGGGATAACGGTGTTGTCCCGCAGATCGGAGGATTCGTCCGATACAAAGGATACCGATCCGGTGGAGGAGGCAGCCGATGAGTTCGAGTCCACCGAACAGACACCGGTTGTCGACGATGCTGCGGAAGATGACGACAGCATGGTTGAATTTATCAGCGGTAGTCCAATTTCCTGGAAGGAATTCATCGAGCTAAATCCACTTTCGTCCTCCGCCGAGCTGGAGATCATCATCTCCTTGATCCGGTCGATGTTTGCACTGTGACGGTGATTGATTAGATGGCCGCTATTGCTACTGGTTGTGCTGCTACTGCTGCTGCTTCCACTATTCTGGTGCTGATGGACTAACGGATGGTGCAAGTGGTGACCCAACGGAGGTGAAGGCCTATCCGTGTTATCCTCGTCCGTTTCCGTCTTGTTCGACGAAGACGTCGAATGCACCGAATCGTCCGTACTGCTCCTCAGCGACAGTCGGCTCCCTCTCATGTTCAGCTTCCGACTGAATGCGACATTACTCCGGGCATTCACCACTCCACCGTACATTGCTTCAACCGCTCCAGGCATGTGGTGATGATGGTGATGGTGATGAACCGTCGCTGACGATGATCCACCTCCAGCGCCGGCACCGGTCAGTGTCGAGGTGCTTCCCGTGGTGGATCCGGCAGCCGACGCCAACAGCAGACTATCAAGGGCGGTTGACGATTGCGATAGCGTTGGTTCTTGGGTGTTGAGTAGATTCTGGACTGTCCGCAGCAGACGGAACGCTTCCTGGGCCAGCTTCTCCGGGTCAACTTCGACGCTGGAAATTGGCAGAGTCTGGGTGCGTTTCGGCGAACGGCGCCTGCAATGAATGAGATTAAGAAAAAGATTTAATTGGATTCGAATGCAACAGTCTCTAGTAGCAGCCAGCCAGGACTATATTTGGACGGGCTGCATCCGCGATGGTATCGAATTTCGAATTAGTTCGCAGATTAACGACCACGACGACCGCACTATAATAAATCGAGATCAACGACCACTAGGCCAGGGCTTGTAGAGCCGCCAGCTCTCGTCGTTATATTGCCTACGGTCGAGTGGCATGATGGCTTAATTAAACACGCACTCAGGTCGACGAGGTATTTATGAACGGATTAATGACCGGCGGGAAACCACGCAAATGGTGACAATTTTCCGCCGTAATTTATGGCATCGGATGGGTACCTGGATCAAGAGAATTTTGATTTGCCCGCCTCTACCCGCATCAGTGAATGTGGTGAAGGTAAAGCATCTTATTACTTTGTTGCAATATTGTAACTCATATGGTCACCAATACTGCTGGCAGAGTAACATTTCTCAGAGCAGCTAGTTAGCAAGCACATTCCAGATCAAATGAAACGAATCGAAGGGAGTCAGAGATACGCGAATTGAGAGGCGGATCAGTCGGATCTTGTTGCTTGTTCTCAACATGGACGACCACGGCGACGATGACAAGTGTTGCAGACCCGTAAATGTTCACATTCCGGGCATCAATTTGGCGCATCATTTGCAATGAAATTTCAGTGTCGTTCGCTGGTTGTGTTATTCGTGAATTACAGTGGTACACGAAGCTTTCTTCCTAAACATCTTTAAACTTCTATGAAGTTCCTTGAACTTCTCTAAAAGTCTTGGAACTTCTTGAAAGTTGAAGCACTTGACGGTTTTCTGAATTTATGGGACTGCTTTGAATTTCTCTGATCATCGCTGGAATTCCTGCAAATAATCAGAAGTTCTTGACACTGCCATGAAATTTCTCTTACCCAATAAACGCACAGTGATCTAATTATAGATCACATTTTTCTCAATTTTTTTATCATGTCTTTACATAAATTGGGAACGTAAATTAACGTAAACCCCTCACCATCCCTCTCCAAAGGGGGAGTTTGGTAAAGAGAGATGAAAAAACCGATTAGTACCTTCCTTAAAAGTTGTTATAGCTCGCTATCTACTATCTATATGTCATTTTCACACTACCGTACTCTAACGGAACTATCAACTCCATACTTTCATCTCCTCCATCTATCGTATAAAAATTACCACTTTAGTCTGTTATTTGATATTAGCATCTTCAACTATGTAAATCGTTGACTTCACGTAGAAGTAATACTAAACATATAGTCAAAGTGTTATTTGAAATTAGCATCTTCAACTATAAAAAAAAGTTAGTTAACAAGAAGTTCAAAAATATTACCAAAAGTTGATGTTCTACGATTTATGTAAATTTTCAAGTTTCCATGGTTTCCAATACTCCTTAAGTTTGCATTTTTCTTGAGCTTTATGTAAAACATAAATTATAAATATTGAAGATATATTTTTTTATAGAGGTTTTAAATTGAAGATATACTTTTTAAGATACTTCAGTTTTTAAAACTTTTTTAAATTTTATTTAAATAAATTTATTTTTCTATACAACTTTGTCTCAGACGTCATTTTGGTCAGAAGTGACATTTTAGGGCTGATTATTGAAAAATAACAAAGACGCCATTTTAGGGGGAAAATACAAGTACCAAAATGGCCGACTTTTTGCAAAATTGTGAATGATTGCTCATAACATAAAATTATGCAAAGTTTCATACAAATCGGAGAAGGCGAAGTCTTAAATTTTTATTTTTATCCTACACACTTAGATTTTTTGCTGAGATTGGCACCACCGAGCTCGGCATTTATTTTTACTGCGAAATCAGCAAGCTGAATCTGGGAAAGCTTTTTTCACTGAGATCCAGCAAAACAAATGCTGAGTGTAAATTTGGCCTGCAACTGGTCTAATTAAAGACCTTTTTTCACTCAACGTCCAGGTCGAAAATAAATGTTGACAACCATAACCAATTTTTTGAGAATCGTTTGATCGATAATGTCGATAATATAGGGATGTTCAAATTTTAAATTAGAACTGAAAATAAATTAGGATTTTCGGAAATTCCTCTGATGTTGTCCGATTTTTGAGAAGATGCTAGTCAAAATTGAAGTATGTCTGGTGGAATAGCAGGCCTCCCTTGGCTCAGTCGGTAAAGGCGCAGCTACAAAGCAAGACCATACTGGAGGTGGCTGGGTTTGATTCCCGGTATGGTCTATTCCTTGGAATGTCAGAACCTTAAATGAACCTGGACGAGCGGGCCTTTTGGCTCGTGAACTGCAAAAAGTGAATGTGAGCGTAGCTGCTATTCAGGAAGTACGGTGGCCTAGATCCGGAGAACGTGAATTCCGGGCGGTGGATCCCATCGCCAACACTTCCTTCAAGTATCATATCTATCACAGCGGTGGCGATAGGGCAGAACATGGAGTAGGGTTCATAGTGATCGGGAAGCAGAAGAAGCGTGTTATGCGGTGGAGACCGGTAAGCGACCGCATCTGTGTATTAAGGATTCGGGGCAAATTCTTCAACTACAGCCTGATCAACATCTATGCGCCAACCAACGATAAATCCGATGACGTGAAGGACGCGTTTTATGACAGTCTCGATAAAACTTATGATGAGTGCCCAAAACACGACGTGAAGATTGTAATCGGAGATGCAAATGCGCAGGTCGGGAGGGAAGATTTCTTTCGTCCCATCATTGGTACAGAGAGCCGACATACAGTAACCAATGATAACGGCCTGAAACTGATAAACTTCGCCGCTGCTAGAGGTATGGCCATCAGTAGCACCTACTTTGCACGCAAGAATATCCGAAAGCACACCTGGAGACACCCAAATGGCGAAACTTGCACCCAGATCGATCACATGTTGGTGGATGGCCGGCACTTCTCAGATGTCATTGATGTAAGGACTTTTAGGGGGCCTAACATTGACTCAGATCATTATCTTGTTGTCTGCAAAATTCGGGCGCGTCTATCGACCGTTACGAATTCAACGAACCGGAGATCGATGCGTTTCAATATCCATCGCTTGTCAGGAGAAGGTGTTGCTGCAGAGTACCGCCAGAAGCTTGATGAGCGGATTAGCGAAATCAACGTGAACGAGGACCTCAACAATCTGTGGAACACAATCCACGGAGCGGTGAACACAACAGCACAAGAAGTGATAGGTACAGCTCAAAGACGACCACGTAATGGCTGGTTTGATGAGGAGTGCCAGAGGTTGACGGATGAGAAGAACGTTGCCAGAAGCCGGATGTTAGTGTCTGGTACCCGGCTGAACAGAGAGCGGTACAAGGTAGCAAGGGCAGCTGAGAAACGAACCCACCGCAGAAAGAAAAGGCAATACGAAGAACGCGTGATTGCTGAGGCGCAAGAAAGTATGGAACAGAACGATATGCGAAGGTTCTACGCGACTGTCAATGGTGTGCGGAGTAAAACAGGGCCATCTCCCGCCATGTGCAATGACCTTGAGGGGAATTTGCTGACAGATAAAACAATGGTGGCTGCCAGGTGGAAAGAACATTTTGAGACATTGTTGAATGGAGAGAGTGAGGGAGTATCGAGGAACAGAGTAAACATCGCAGACGACGATCAAGCTGTGGAGCCTCCAACGCTAGACGAGGTTAAAAAGGCAATACGTGAGCTGAAAAACAATAAGGCTGCTGGGAAGGACGAGCTCCCGGCCGAACTTTTCAAACACGGAAGTGAGCAGCTGCATCAAGCAATCCACCGTATTCTAACGAAGATATGGGAGGACGAAGAACTGCCTGCTAGCTGGTTGGATGGCCTCATTTGCCCATTATTCAAAAAAGGGCACAGACTCGAGTGCGCCAATTATCGAGGAATAACTCTTCTGAATTCGGCGTACAAAATACTGTCACGCGTTCTGTTTAACAGATTGAGACCGCTTGAGGAGTCCTTCGTCGGTGAATACCAGGCTGGTTTTCGTGAGGGCTGATCAACGACGGATCAAATGTTTACCCTGCGTCAAATCCTTGATAAATTCCGGGAGTACAACTTGCAGACTCACCATCTGTTTATTGATTTCAAAGCAGCATACGATTCAGTGAAGAGAAATGAGCTTTGGCAGATTATGCTAGAACATGGTTTTCCGGCGAAACTAATTAGACTGATTCACGCAACGCTAGATGGATCGAAATCAAGTGTAAGGGTTGCAGATGAGATTTCGACCTCGTTCGTGACCTTAGATGGATTGAAGCAGGGTGATGCACTTTCAAACTTACTGTTCAACATTGCTCTTGAAGGAGCGATTAGGAGAGCTGGTGTGCAGAGGAACGGTACCATCATCACACGATCGTACATGCTCCTTGCCTTTGCGGACGACATCGATATCATCGGAATTGACCGTAGAGCAGTGGAAAAGGCGTTTGTGCCTTTTAAGAGGGAGACGGCGAGGATTGGGCTCACGATAAGTTCTACCAAAACGAAGTACATGGTAGCCGGTAGACAGCGTGGGAGCAATAGTGGTGTTGGTAGTGTAGTGTTGTTAGATGGTGAACAATTTGAGGTAGTGGAAGAATTTGTGTATCTTGGAACACTAGTGACATGCGATAATGATGTTACCCGCGAGGTGAAGAGACGTATTGCAGCTGCAAACAGGGCCTTTTACGGATTACGTAGCCAGCTGAAGTCCCGTAGCCTGCAAACGAAAACGAAATTCGCTATGTATAAGACGCTGATACTTCCGGTAGCCCTCTACGGCCACGAATCGTGGACCTTTTAACGTCCTTAACCGGAGAGCATTTGGTGTCTTCGAGCGTAAGGTGCTGCGAACAATACTCGGCGGTAAACAGGAGAATGGCATCTGGCGGTGTCGCATGAATCACGAGTTGTACCAAGTGTATAATGGTACGGATATAGTGAAGCTTATAAAACACGGCAGACTACGGTGGGCTGGGCATGTAGTGCGGATGCCGAAAGAACGACAAGCAAATATTATATTCAGCA